TCTAAAAATTTGCAATCTATTTGCAATCTAAAAATCAAAATTTTAGTCTTGCAGAGAACTATCTTTTTTTACAATATTAGAGTCATTTTTACGAAATTATAGTTGCCAAAATATTATTTAAAAAATTTTTAGAAATTTTTAGAATATTGTTGACTATATTTAAATAGCAAAGAGTAAAATTTTGAAACCTATATAATAAACCAAATAAAATTGTAGACGCTTTGTATGAGCAATAAGGAATATCCATTAATGGTTAAGGTAAATGTCCATTAATGGTTAAATACCTGAGTCTCTTACTCACATTTACCTGGAAACTCCGTTTAACCGTTATTGTATTACGGTTTATATGAAGGATTTTATAATAGCGTACAGCAAATTGCAGGTAAGGCACAATTAGGAGCAAAGGAGTATTTAATCCTTGTCAGGTAATAAAGGATTAATAATAGGAATGGTACAACAGTCTTATTAATGACGCATACCAAATCTTTCGCGTACAGGTAACACGGATGGAAATTTTAAACGTGTTCCGCGAAAAGTTTTTATTCAGATTCAGATTATCATTATCCAGCGTTATTAGAATTTTTCAAGAAGGAATATTGCCATTGTTCGTGCAACTCATAAAGGCAAATAAACGTAAAATTGTTTCTATTCTGCCGACGCATTGTCTGCAAATTAATTTAATATTTCCACGTAGCGCATAACACCTGTAAATAATAAAACACTTTCGATGATCATTTACGATGAAATTTTATTCGTATACGATACATAGTCAAATTATTTGCAATTATATTTTTCTCGAGAAAAAAAAAATTGTAAATCCTTTTCTTACAAAGTATGGTGTATACAGGAATTTTTTTCTCGAAAATGCGTAGGATTTCGAAGGTATGTGTAATGACCAAAAATTATTGTAATTGACCCCCGCGATCGAACATAATTTTTTTAGAACGATTTGAAAAAATTTTTTTTTGCCGAAAAATTTCACAACTTCACGAATTTTTTTCTCGAAAGTACGTAGGATTTCGGGGGTATGTGTATTCACCTAAAATGATTGCAATTGACCCCCGCAACCGAAAATAATTTTTCCGAAACGATTTGAAATTTTTTAATTTTTTCGAAAATCTCAGTACCTACTCGAATTTTTTTCTCGAAAATGCGCAGGATTTCGGTTGTATGTCTATTCACCAAAAATAATTGTAATTGACCCCCGCAACCGAAAATAATTTTTCCAGGACGGTTTGAAATTTTTTAATTTTTTCGAAAATCTCAACAACTACTCGATTTTTTTTCTCGAAACTGCGTAAGATTTCGGTGGTACGTGTATTCACCAAAAATGATTGTAATTGACCCCCACAACCGAAAATAATTTTTCCAGGACGGTTTGAAATTTTTGAATTTAATTGTTAATAACTTTTTAACGAAGTCTCCATCCACAAATTGGTATTCTCGATTTTCGTCTTATTTTGGCCTCTAGAATCACCCATTAAAATTTTTCCCAAAAATAGTTGAACACCCTTTATTTAAACGATCCTCTGTGCTACGAAAAATTTTAGGGTTAACGAAAGTACCATTTTTTGTTCGATTAGGGTCCCGGTGTAATGATCAACGTTTTCGAATAGTCTAGGAGTCAGACCCTGTTCAATTAGGGGGTGTCGATGTTTCCCATAACATGCGGACCGATGAGGGCGTCCGTGTGGCGGAACCCCCAATAGGGCGAAGGGTTAATGTTTTTAACCCCAGATTCTCATGCAGCTATACATAACGGCTAATGGGAGTCAGTTTTCGTTATGGTGGCTGAACTGTATGTATAAGTATCAGCCCGGTACATGCGGGCTCTTTGTGGGACATGCGTGCGCCATGAATCGAATCGAAATCTCCATTTCCATTGTAAATCGCAACGCTGTGTCGATTCATGAATGAAATTCAGAGTAAAACGCAAAATTTTGCATTTTTATCGAGTAAAAAAATTGTGGCAAACGTTCGGTGCATAAATACAGTGTTCGGCAACCTCTGGGAAAAATTATAATGGGAGATTTTGGAGACCAAAATAAGACGAAAATCAAGAATACCAATTTGTTGATGGAGGCTTCCTTAAAAAGTTATTAACAATTAAATTCAAACATTTCAAATCGTTCTGGAAAAATTATTTTCGGTTGCGGGGGTCAATTACAATCATTTTTGGTGAATAGACATACCCCCGAAATCCTGCGCATTTTCGAGAAAAAAATTCAGTATGGGCGGAACTTTAAATGTTAATAACTTTTTAACAAAGCCTCCATTAACAAATTGGTATTCTTGATTTTCGTCTTATTTTGGCCTCTAGAATCCCCCATTAAAATTTTTCCCAAGGTTAGCGAAACACCCTATACGTATACATCGGGACACTATTTAAAAAATTATATATTTTAGATGTTTAATTTTTCATCTTGTCGCTTATGAAAGATACTTTTAATTTATCTTACGAGATCCTTGCGATTTTGAAACGTTCGTTCCTAACCTAACCCAGACCTAACCCAGACCATATCGCGTATGTAGTTTCGAGCGAACGGAATAGTCATATGAATACAATGGCATTTTAAATAGATTAAACTTGCTGAGTATCAGTGACTTCATACCTACGTTTCTTATTATAGACCTCGCGGTCGAGACTGTCTACTTTACATAATCGTGCAAACGAAATTCTGAAGTTCATAGCCAATTTAATAATTAAATTGTTAAATCAATTTTCGATGTATCGCGAGGTTCGAATAAAAAATTAATTATACATGTTGCGAGTGGGGTGAACTGTCGACTGTTCCGACAAAAGCTTTTGCACCGGTCTACGAAAACGATGACTCGCTGTTTCTCTTCTACGAAACTGCGTCGTGTTTTTCTTGCAACGAGTATTCCTTGAGTTCCGTGGAACGTTGTTGCAGATACGCGTCGCCCGGCCGGAGAAACATTTTTTACGCCCGGCTCCCGTTGTAATTCCACTCGATGGATTTTTGTGTCGTCGCGAAATCGGCGTGTTGTATTTGTTACGGAACATCGAGATTGACGTATAATCGAACGCTAACAATGCGTAGACGGTGGTTATTTACAATCTGCAGCCTTACATCGCGCATGAATAGACGCTCAATTTCATTCATGGCGACTCTTCTCGGTATCCCATCGCTCCGCCACGTTCGAGCTATCGGATCGCGGAGCGTCGAATATCGCAACTGAAATGGTTCAGTCGTCTCGAAAACGTCGGCGTTACGTTCCCTCGTCGTCCAAATAAATATATCACAGTCTCCATTCGGAAGAGTTTGGACACTTTTTCAAAAATTATTCCTTAGTCATTTAGAATTTATCAAAACTGAAATTTAAATTCGACACTTTTTCAAAAATTATTGGTCGTTTGCAATTTATCAAAAGTGAAATTTAAATTCGATACTTTTTCAAAAATGATTCCTTGGTCGTTTACAATTTATCAAAAGTGAAATTTAAATTCGATGCTTTTTCAAAAATTATCCCTTGGTCGTTTACAATTTATCAAAAGTGAAAATTTGACACTTTTTCAAAAATTATTCCTTAGTCGTTTACAATTTATCAAAAGTGAAATTTAAATTCTATACGATATGTACATGGAAATACAAGACATGTATAAAATAAGCAAATTTTACATTGGTTTCTTAATCATGTTCCCGGTCGGGGTACATTATGCGCTAAAGGTTAAAATGGTATCGTTGAATATGCTTCATAAATATATTACTATAGTATGTTTAATGTATTCGTGTAAATATTTTGAGAACGGACCTTCTGTTTCTAATAAATAATTAATGTCACCGATTACATTGAATTCTAATTGAATTCGTTGTAACCAAACATACAATCTCTTAACAAGTAAAACAAAATATAATAATATTTAATTAATAAATTTCCGTCGGTCAAAAATAAACTTATTTAGCCAGGTATTAATTCGTAACATTTTTAAACTTGAATTTCGTTCCTCGAAAAACTCGACGCGAATACAATGAACATTTGTATTTATTTCGAATATTATTTGCATCGCGTCGAAAGTTCAAACTCGAACGTTTCGATTACACGTCGAACCATATTACGCAATCGTACGTTACAGAAGCTGAAAGGTTAAAAAAATACTCATATTTTTTTTTTTTTGTGAATTTTAAAATACGTAGAAAATTAAGAACCGTTATCTTTTATTCGGTTGAATACAAGATAGCACTAGGTGGGCGCGGAGAGATAACAGCATAGATTACACTACATTACAAATAATGCGACACTCTCACACACACGTATTCTTTCTAAATAACAAGTCTTGTATTCCTACGATAAATCAATCCGAGACTCGTCTCGTAAAGGATCGTTTAAAAATTCTCTTACATCCTCAAATCACCAACGAACCACGTCTATTACCATTCGCCGTTATTAATTCTTGAATTTAACAAATACAAACTTTCCAATAACATCCGGAGTCCTTTGTTGACGACAAAAGAACATCGGAACAAACGATCGTCACGCTGCGTGATATTCGGGTGTCGATAAACGACTTAACAAATTTTACGTTATACGAAAAGAAGTTCAGAACGTGTTAACGCAACAGCGTTTCGTTAAAAAGTCGTAATTGCGGGAATACCGGGTAGCAGAAGCACGGTACGTAATTTCCGGTGCAGTTAAATGGGATAAAGAGAACCATGTTGGTGGTACGTGGCTGGAAACCACCCCAAAGATGTCTCCGCCAATGAGAGTAATCGGGGTGAAGAGGCAAGAGAGAACGATTCGAAAATTTCGTCGTGGTCCAAGGGGTTGCCTGTTGCAGCAGAACGAGGGAGAGATAGACGTTTTGTACGATTGGCCCGACGACCCGGCGCGGTTGCCAAGTCCGACGAGTTCTGGCGTGGACGCGGTGGGGATGAGTCGGGCAGCGACGCCGCGGTTTGATTGGCGGAACGCGCGGTGCCGCCTTTCGAGTCTCACGGACCGTCGCGCGATACACGCATCCTCAGTTCGCTTTCGGAGGCCCTGCGAGCTGTATCTCCTTGAGACGGAAAGGAAAGATTCGAACGGGAGCTTTCAAGTTTGTCCCCCCCCCCTCCAAGGGAGCCCGCGCTTAAGATTTCTACGATACGAACAAAACAATAAGTGCCAAGTTTAGTCTCGCACGTACCTCTGTCACCGGTATACAGAATTGTCTTTCGTTTTACCACGGTGATATCTCGACACGTGTGACAGCCATAGGCAACGAAGAAGCTCGAAAGCGAAGAGAGCCAGCGTGCTTGTTCAACGCGAGAGAGAGAGAGAGAGAGAGAGAGATAGAGGAGACCACGCTTGACGATCGTTCGAATCGGTTGATAACCGCGAATCTGGCTCGCGTTCACGTCGATCTCCTCGCACGATTGAGAGATTCGAACGGGTGTGCTTCCAATGTAAATCCACGAGCGTATTATCGGAGTGGCAGTTTTTGTGTTCACGAAGTTCGTACACTGCGGGTTATTCCTGTCTCACTGGCTTTCGTACAACGTCGCCGCGAACGTCGTCCTTGCTCTGGAACGGGGAAGAAGGCCTAGCCCACGACTGGATCGCGAGAAAAATTACGACTAGCTCCAGTGTTTTTTTTTTTTTTTTGTGTAAAATCGAAGGAACATGTCGACAGCCGTCATGAGCACAACAATGTTCGAGTGTAGCGAGCATCTTTTCAAGGTAAGATTTTTTCACTACCGTGTCGGACGATCGGTTCGTCCTTTGCGTTCGTTTTTACTAATTTTTTTCTCTCGACCTGTTCCACAATGTCGTTAAAGCCCGAGACAAAGAGCAACGCGGATCGAGAACGATCGAACGTTGTAAGAACTTTGAATGGAATTCCTGGTCGTCGAGTTTTCGCTCAAAGTTACGATATCGCGAATAGTGTTCCTTTTCTGTTTTCGAAGAATCGAGATAAAACTGGCCGCGAAGATGGCTGGTTCAGCACGTGGGTAACGCGAATATGTACCGAGAAATTCTGTGGCGTAGTCGATCGCGTTGAATTCTCTCGTGACGGTTGTAGTACTCGCTGGTACTCGGTGGTACCGTGGCGCAAACATTTGTGCAACGGTGTTGGTCGGTACGTATTCTGTTCCAACCGCTACGGTCTATTGCCCTGTAGGACGACAAATATGGAATAGAATGGGTAGAAATGGTCGGAGGATTTGTACCAACAGGACTCGCGATTACGAAACCGCGAATCCCTTACGAATACTTTAACGAAATTCAACGTTCTTAGACGGGAGAGCAACTCGACTGGAATAAAACCATTTACATTGGTGCACGAGGGTACAATAGCAGTACAAATATTTTCCATTCTATCTGGTGGTCACTGGTGACCGGCACTATTGTTTACAATAGAAGAATCCTAATACCACTAAATAACGTTAATGATGTAAAATAATAATTATCGACATATACACTTGTAATTTGGATCATCGAGTTATTTTTAATATTCGAAATTTTTATACCTCTTGAGGTTAGCAACAGTGAAAGTTTACGTAGCTTGGCGTCACGTTGGTAGGAAAACAAAGTTTAATTCGACCTTTCGTATTATTGCCGCGTTGTTCCTTTGACAAATCCGTATATACCCAGAGTTTGTATTTGATTTCGGTGGAGCGTATTATAATCTTTCCCGATGATCGTACGTGATGTCGATTTCGTGTATGGCGGATCGATTGTCAGTTGTTCCAGGCTACATTGTTTTCGTTCGCTGGTCGTGATTCGCTCGAACTCAGCGGCGTCCTGTTTGGCTCTCGCGTCGGCATGTTTTTATGTTTTCTCCGTTGTGCGTCGTTCGCTAATTACCTTTCAGAGCTGTTCGAAATTTTCAATGGAGAAACGTTACATAAACGCCAAAACCGAGCGTCGTTATCAGCAACGCGCGGCCTATTTTGAAACCTCGTCGAGCTGTCGAGCACGGAGCGAATTGCGAGTCGAAAATGACGTTTACGACTCGTTTTATTATTTACAGTCATTCAACGCTAGAACCATTATCGTTAAAAATACACCCGATTCTACTACATTCTAGCGTCGAACTCTCAATTCTTATACTTTGAACGCTATTTACGTGTTACTTGTTACAATTATTTTATAATATTCTGTAATTATTATTAATAATCGAAAGAACAAGTAACACGTGATAAAAACATCTAGATCGTTCTATAAATTTGTTTTCTCCGGTGAATCGAGCTGTGTTACTTGTTACAATTATTTTACAATATTATTATTAATAATTAAATGAAATAACAAGTATCACGTAGATTTGCGCGAAATAAAAATATCTAGATCGTTTTATAAATTTTTCTCGGTGAATCGAGCTTTCCCATTCAGTTACTCGTAGACAGGTCTGGACCTGCTCGTTCGAGCGCGATTGGTCGGTGCGAATTTGTGGTTCCAGCAGCGCGGGAAGTCTGTCTCGGTTCAAATTCGCGATCGAGCCTCGTCGTTACGCGAAAACGAATACTCCACGTACGAAATTACGTTCCGTGGCAATGAAAGGAGAACCGCGACACACGAACCCCGGGCGTCATTGTTTACGGACCGCATCCGGCAAATGTACGACGTTCCGTGTTTTATTGTGACTTTTTCCCCTCTTTCCTTTTCAGCTACACCAGCTCGTAACTTTCCTCGGCAATTTCTCCTCGGCGATTTCGAAACTCGTTCGATAGAGAAAGGCTTTCGACTTTCGTGGTCGGTGACCATCTAAGGTGCCACTCGAAATTTAGACTTTGGATCGTAGATAATCGTTGTTTCCTTCGTTACGAACGTTCGTCGCCGCGTCGATGCTTTCTTCGTTCTTTTTTCCCCCCCGCTGGTACTAAAGTAGATAAATACTTATCTGCTCACGGAAAGTAACCTCTGACGCGACGACGCTTGGCTGCAATGGCGCCCGTAGGGCCACTACGAATATTTCAACGACTCGATAGATATTTCAACGTACTGTAACGTTGAGTAATTTTCACGCAGTGTTTCAAGTTCCCGTTATTCGTACAATTTGTGTAAAAGATAAGTAGATATTACCGCGCTCTTTTGTGTAACTGAAATATATTTTTATACGAACGACAGCTGAAAATACGTATCTAATCGTATCGATAAATTTTTTGTCATTGTTTTCGTCCTTGTAAAAAAACATTGAGCCAATATAATTTTATCAACCAAATGTGTTTAAATATAAATTCTAATATTCGCGGTGCAACCTTGTGAAGAAACATTGAGCCGATATAATTTTATCGACCAAATGTTTAAATATAAATTGTAATATTCTTGGGTGCAAACAAACACCGTACAAGGTCCGGGTAACCATAAACTGAGATTCTCGCGGAACAGTTGGAAAGGACAGGTTGTTCGAAAAACCCCATTTTAGCAGATCCAACAAAGCATCCATGGGGTTTGTCCCGCCATAGAATCGTTTGGTCTGGATTCTTCTAAAAGTGGAAACCCCTCGCCCCGAGCGAGAACCACGTTCAACACGCACACGGGCGCACATAATCGCCAACAAAAAGCGGCTCGGTGAACGCACAGGCACACACTCACGCGCACACGTGCGCGCGCAAGGGGCGTAGGAACCTGTTGCTTCGGATTTGCTTTCGGATGGAAAGAGGAGAACCAAGTGCGGAAAAGATTGAGGGAGCGTTAGATAGAAAAGGACGAGGATAGGGCATGCGTGCGACGCAGGGAACAGGGATAGAGATAATTGTGATCAGACTGATTTCAAAAGAACGGCTAAATAAATGGGAAAGACTGAAAAAAAATTAAACAAAGAGTAGAGAACAACGACGGATGAAAATTAAAAGAGAAAAGATATTCAGAAGCTATAATTAGATCGTTAAAAATATTATTCCATGTCGTGTATTTCTGACATTCGATGCTTCTATTTAAGAATTAAATATTTCACAATGAATGTAATAGTAAATTGCTGATCGTAGGTTTTGCTGGCTATGAATTGTTCAAATAAAATTTAGCGAGCCCGTGGCTAGGAATCGGCCGGTGTCATTTATTGTGTACTGTCCCCTTTAGGCTGGCTCTTCGAATTTCCCATATTTCTGAGAGAAACGGGCCACACAAAAAAGCTGGCGGACAGGAAGGGGCTGCTGTCGTTGTTCGTGCACCTTGCTTCTGCTTTTGAACGAACTTCCCGAGCAGAGCTCCTTTTAGGCTGCTTTGCATATTTTGCTTTTGGCGGTGTATTAAATGTGAACTATTGTGCGGGCAAAAATTGTTAGAATCTCTGTGGATAATTGACGGTTGTATCTGGCGATGGTCGAGTTAGGGAGTAGCTGAAGTTTTTGCGTGCTTGCTACAATGTAGAGAGTTGTTTATGGCAGCGCAGTAAATGGTGTCGGTTAATCGTGATTATGCGTATTATCGCGCTATTCCCATGTACCGGTTTATTTTTATGTAACTTGTTTTTGCGCAACTTCGTGTTATTTGTTATCCGGTTTAAAGTCCGTGTAATCTTAGATTAAAGTAGATCGAGCAGGAAGTTAAGTCGTTGAAAAAAAACTGACGGAATTTGTACTACTGTATTTCTGGGGAATATACCACACCTGGGAAAAATTTTAATGGGGGATTCTAGAGGACAAAATAAGACGAAAATCAAGAATACCAATTTGTTGATGGAGGCTTCGTTAAAAAGTTATTAACAATTAAATCCAAAAATTTCAAATCGTTCTAGAAAAATTATTCTCGATTACAGGGGTGAATTACAATCATTTTCGGTCATTACACGTACCCCCGAAATCCTACGCACTTTCGAGAAAAAAATTCGAGAAGCTGTGACATTTTTCGACAAAATTAAAAAATTTCAAATCGTTTTGAAAAAATTATTTTTGGTTGCGGGGGTCAATTACAATAATTTTTGGTGAATAGACATACCCCCAAAATCCTGCGCATTTTCGAGAAAAAAAATTCAGTACAAGCGGAACTTTAAATGTTAATAACTTTTTAACGAAGCCTCCATCAACAAATTGCTATTCTTGATTTTCGTCTTATTTTGGCCTCTAAAATCCTCCATTAAAATTTTTCCCAGGGTTGTCCTGAACACCCTGTATAGAATAATACCCGGTTATTAGTTACTACATATTCAAAATCCTGTGCAGTTTGATCTCGTTGGAAAATATTGTTGAAACCACGTTGATTGAAAAGAAGAAAAAATACAAAGTTTTGGCAATAAACGCTTCGTTCCAGAGTTATAAATAAATATCGTACGTATGGAATACGTAACAACGCATTTTTCCATCTCGTCTGACAGAAGGTCAAGCATGTTTATCTGGTCTGCGTAGTTGGATGGTTTTTATCATCCGGTAACAATTCTCTGTTGTTAATAACCGATATAATGAAAAATGATGACTCGGTAATTTTAATTCCTCGATCATTATCCGTTTTTAATATTTTTTACATTTTTACGCTTGACGGCTAATAACAATTTTATTATTAAGCATTAACCCTTTGTACTTCGAATTATATTTCAATTTTGTTACCAGCAGCTCCCAGTGCTTTTAAATATTTGATTCATTTACACTGTTGTTGTATTTTGTAATTTTCAAGTGTATGATATTCCAGTCTAAAACTGATGTCGAGTCACGCTTGACATAGGGGTGCAAAGGGTTAAGAGTTTGTACGGATCTCGAAACGTGAAACTTTTGAATAAATTCTAGGGAATAGTGTCGAGGTTTCTA